ACCCCATTGACTACTACAAAACAAGTCTGCATCCAAAGAAAGTAATACTGTGTATCTGACGGGGTTGAAAGGGCACTGTCTATTGGAAGCTTCTTTGGCAAAATCAGACAAGTTCTGTTCCCAATTGGATTGCTTGAAGACTGCAAAATGCTCCAGAATTGGTCAATTAGAAGGGCATCATCTTCCATCAGGACAACACTAGAACTTGCATTCAACAGGTGTACCAATTTCTGCTGGGTCTGCAAACCTAGTAGAAACTGGATACACCTGCTGTACTCACCTGACTATGTACCTTTGGATTACCATGTATTTTGATACCTACAAATAGGAAAAACTACAATTCTCTGGAAGCCTGTGAAAACCACTTAAACCAGTTCATCACCCAGAAAGATGCTAAGTTTGGAGAAGATGTAATCCTAAAGCTGCCACAAAGATGTTGAAAAACAGAACAAAATGGCACATGTAGTTTAATAACTATGTACAATTATATAGATAATCTCTTTGAAATTCACTTAAAATACACTATGGACTTTTGTTCTGACCCAATATTTAATGAACAAGTTTATTAACACATTCACAAAAAATGTTAAAACTGATCACACAATGTTTACATTGTATTCTATTGTTTATGAATAATGTTTACATTTTTATTATTTTAATCTATTTTTGTTCTTTGTGTTACAAAAGCTAATGAGTATTTTATACTGAATTTTAGAAGATTGGTGATTATTTTTGAAGATATCTTTTGATGTATTTTTGTCATAAGTTAAAAATATAAGTACTTTCTTTTATGTAAGTGTTATTACAAATATTGTATCGACTTCTATTAAATGCATTCCTCGTAAAAGACAAAATGATCTAAATTTTTTCTTGAAAATGACTCAAAAAATGTTTCTATTTTCTAAACTGACATTATTATGAATGAAGTTTTTTTTCATACAGCTGTAATCTTTTAGAAGTATGCATTTCAGTACTTATTAAATACTGTGCAAATAATTCAAGTAATAAAAGAATGTTTTATTACTTGAATTATTTTTCATTTAAATATTTTGATTATTTCTATATTTTTTTCCTTATTTCTTGCGCTTAAGTGCCATATCTTAAACATAAAAGTAGTAAGTGGAAAAAACAACTTTTTCATATTTGTTCATTGAAAGGATTTAAAATGTATAGCTATTTCTTATACAGAAATATAATTTTTCATCCTTGTGATATCAAACTGAACTAGTTCTTCACGTAATCATTAATCTTATATATAAAGTGCAGTGTATGTGTGTTTGTACATTTGTGTTTCCAAGCAACTCCTCTGCTCCCACTGGTCTGATTTCAATGATTCATAGTCATTCAAAAGCCCTAGAAAAGTTAGGTGCAGGGAATGATTTTCATTGAGCTCAGATTCAGGTTTGCCAGATTATGCAAGGTTAAAAGTATATATATTAATATATTATACTAGCTATTATTGTTGCTTTCATGGTTCAAGGGGAGTAACTCTTTTTTCCTTTTGTATCCGAAATTGCAGTGCACGTTTTATTATAAACTAGCTTAAAAACCACCCTACAGGGCAGCATTTAAGTTAGCTCCTGTGGGGGACTCTTGGTTTAGCCATCATCACAATAGCTAGGGAGGAGCAGATGCACTAGGCATCAATAAACTAAAGAAGAACTCAAAATTGATCGCTGCATTTAAGTATTGAATTAATGTTTAAGCTTATCTTTTAAAAGTTCAATGATAATTCTTCTGCTGCCACTTAATTTAAAGACGATTTGATATACGTAGATCCTTTTTTTCTGTAAAAACATTTTTTATTTCATGGGTGACAGAACAGGGGCCATTTTATAAGATAAAATTAATATAGTGTAAAGATCGGAAATTAGAATTAGTTACATTATATATTCAACATTTGAAGAGTTAGGGAAACATAATAGCTAATTACGTAAAACCTATATTATGGAATCTATATGAATAAATGCGAAATTGGAACTCAATTTTCCCACGAATTGTGAAATTAAGAACCCCCAGCTCTACTTTATAGTAATTTTGTATTTACTCAACCTTCCCCCTTCACTGAGTCGCATTGTGACATATAACGTTGGTTTAATGTGGGAAATCCAAGCGCATACACTTGGGCTAGGAACAAAAATTGCCTGAGCCCCTGTAAATATTGGTTGTGCTGGCCTCAGTGCAAGCACCAATCCCTCTCTCTGGTGCAATGAGAGGGCATGGCCTCGGACAGCTCTTCCCAAAGGCTGGGCACCTCTCATTATAATTTTCCTCAGCTGCAACTCTCTCCTTTGACATAGCTGCCCCTGAGTGCACTCTGCTCAAAGACAGAGATGCAACTGAGAGATGATGAATAGATGTGTTACAAACTACTCATGAGAGTAATTTGTATTTACTCAACCCCCCCCCAACAAGGTCAGGTTGTGACACAACGTTGGTTTAACATGGGGAGCCTGAGCACATACACTCAGGCTAGAAACAAAAATTGCCCACAGCCCCCACAACCGTCTGTTGCACTGGCCTTGGTGCAAACACTGATACCTATCTCTAGTGCAATGAAAGGGCACGGCCTAAGCCATCTGTTCTCCAGGGCTGAGCACCTCTCAGTAAAATTTTCCTCAGTTGTGATAGTCATCCCTGAGTGCACTCTACCCAAGTACAGCCACGCAACTGAGAGATGATAAATAAACGTGTTACAAACTACTTTAGAGTAATTTACATATGGTATTTACTCTGTCTCCCCACTGAGACAAGATGTGACACAAGGTCTTTTTTAAGGTTGAGACCCAAGTGCGAACACCCAGGCAAGGAACAAAAATTGCCCACAGCCCCCGTAACTATCAGGTGTGCTGACCTCACCATGAGAGGGCACGGCCTTGGACAGCTGTTCCCCAGGGCTGGGCACCTCTTAGTATAATTTTCCTTAGTTGCAACTCTGTCCTTTGACAGAGTAGCCCCTGAGCACACTCTGCCCAAAGACAGAGACATAACTGAGATGATAAATAAATGTGTTGCAAATCACTCCAAGGAGTAATTTACACACTAGAAGCTCGCTATCTGTATTATATATTATCTACTTCTAGGCAATATCACTCTTCAGGTTTAACTAATTTGTGTATCGATTTTAAAAAGGTTATTTCATTAATTAATTGTCCTTCATTACTGTTCTTTTATTTGAGGATTTTTTGATTTTCATATCAAAAATAGTTTTGTTTAGGAATATTGTCTTATATAGTGCACAAGTGTTTAAAATTTGCATTTTACTTGGCCTTCAACAAGTTGGCATCTATTTGTAAAACTTTCCTTAACTATAACAAGCCAATTTACGAATGAAATGTTCATTTAAAATTTTTGTTTCAAAAATTTCAAATAGTGAATATATCTTACTTTGTGAAGTGATATAGCAAGTGGGCGAAGCCTGCTAGTTTAATATAAGTACCTCCACAAATTCACTAAAAAATGAGCATACTATGATGAAAAAAAATGCTCTAAACTTAATAAAAACTTAGTTTTATTATCAAAATTATTAAGAGGAAAAAAATCAAAGGATTTTTTGATTATTAAATTATATTTTTTGATATTTTTATATTGTTTTAGAATGTTGGAATTTTTTTTTTTTTTTTTTTTTTTTTTGTGAAAAACACATCGATTTGGAAATTCTTGCAAAAATCAAATTGTCAGATTTTAATGAAACTTTCAGGACTGAAATTATTTATTTTGAGAAATTAATTTTTTGTCCCATTTAATGTTATACATAGAACTTGTTGGAGAATTTAAATCTCCAAATTTTTTTTTTTTTTTTTCTTTTTGTAAAACGGGACCCACAGTTACTGAAAATCAGTTCTGAATTGAAAATAAAAAATGCAATAAAACTAAAACGTTATTTAATTAGAAAATCTTTTAATTGCTTTTATGAATAAGATATATTATGAACACTATGTACATAATACTTTTTGAAAAATTTTTTTTCATTGAATAATGAATTTTGATATTTTTTTTGTGTGTGCCAATTTTTGCAAATATAGATGTATAAGTGACATCAGAAAATGAGTGATAACTAGTAAACTTAAAGCCAAAATACCTTAAATTCAATAAAACATTAGATTGTAGAATATTCTTGTAAATTTTAAAGATTACAGAGTACTTAAAAATTGTATAAAAAAGGTGCTCATGTTATATTCCTCAAGCAATTTTTACAGATATGTCCACTGTAGAAAAAAAATTAGATAAACTTACATCTGTCTGTTAAGTTGTCAATACCTTAAATAAACACCTATTGCCATTTTAAAAAATGCATTTCTGCAATATTTAAAACTTAAGTAATATTTGTTTCAAATTAGATTAATTAAACTCTAAATCAGCTAATATTCCTCAGTTTCAGAAAAGTATATTTTATTTTTTAATAAAGAGTATTACATTGTGATGTAAGATGACTAAAATGTTGCTAAAATTAGCAATTTTCAGAGATTTCAAAACAAAAACTACTTTCAGTCAATTTAAATTGGTTTTGAAATACAGCAAAGTATTTTGCTAATTGGACATTAAATTTAATCTATTAGCTTGAAATTTAAACTAAAATAAGTTTTAAGAAAGATTTTTCATTTTTAAAAATTCATTTTATTACATTTCTGTGGAGGTACCTAAATTAATATCATATACTGTACAATATGTAATCTCAAAGTTCAGGCATTTACCATGAAAAACGAAACAAAAATTATTTACTTGAACATCTATTTTCTCTTTCAAAGTAGTTCTCTTTCTTTAATTGTTTGCACATTGGCTCACAAAGGTTAGGAGTAAATGTCTGTACTACAATTGCTTTATATACATTGTTCAAATTCCCAGAGTAGCAACACATATGTCAGTTTATTCTAATTAAAAAAAATTGTACAATTTCTTAAATTTTTTATATTTTTTTGAAACTGAAATATATATTATAAACCCAAATATATTTTTGCTTGTGGACTTTAATGTAATAAATATTTTTTCTTTATTTACAGAAAGAATCTATGTTTATCCGGAAAGCGCTCCCCTTGGGCCATGATAAACCTACTGCTGGGCATACTCCTGACAAAACATTAGGACATGTCATTGTCTCTGTGATATTTCGTTCTGTGCTGTCAGTGGCAAAATCAGGTGGGTAATCTCCTCCTAAAAATCAGTAATCCTTCTCCTGATTGATCTAAAAAATTAAGAGACATGCTTTGAAATTGGGAACAAACAAAAAATTTGAGATTAAACCAAATTTTTAAAGTTTTTAATGTTGAAAATTATTAGAATAACTGTAAATAGGTTTAATGTGATTTAATCTGTGCATTTTTGTGGAATAATTAAAGCCAGGCCAATTAAATCCTTGTCAATCCTAGCAGAACATCTATAAATAATACCAGTTAACTTGGTAAATTATATCAGATATGATCACAGAAGTTTTTGGCTATACATTTTTTGGACATGACAGACTTTGTGAAAATTTATGTGGGTGGAGCATAGTTATAATCTGAAATTTTCACCGTATAATGTTCAATGGATATGATTAATATTTACCACTAGATTAAGTGCATTGATAAAGAAGTAGATTATGCTGAAAAATATTTTTGTAAGATAAAACACTTTTTTTTGTCATTGGACAATGAACATTGATGAATCTGTCTATTTAATTATATTGCCATTAATTTATTTTCTGCTCTGATATTTTTCTACTTATCAAATGAAAAGCTAAAACTGAATTAAAAAACAAAAAATGACCAATCCAGTTTTTGTAGGTAGAGCTCATGATGTAAGGAAACTTTTTTTTTTTTTTTTTATTATTCAGCAGGAATTAAACAAGTGTTCCTTGAAGATAAATCTCAGAAGTTATTATTTTTATGTTTGGTTTCATTAACTTTGATATCATTACAATAATATTCTTGGTACATGTTAAAACTCTTAACACCAGATAGTCCATTTGATTGATGAGGATTTGAAGTGCTTAGTTATTTTATGAGCTAAAATTATTTTAGAAGAAAAGCTTTGTGCATACATTTATTCAAGAATAAAACTTTAAAGCATACTTTTTTTTTTTTTTTTTTTGTTGTTTTTAAATACCAGCATCAATATGTTAGTTCTTTATAGCAATACATTTCTTAATTCTGTTTAATAAGTCATTTTTACTTTTAAAATACACACACAGTGACGTGCAGAGGCCTGGTGATGCCCAGGCTCATCTCCTTGTTTGTATGTGCCTAAGATTCAAGTAGGGGCACCTATAGGGCCTAATACTGAGAAATGTGAAAAAGAAAAAACATTTTAAATATGTAAAAACAGATGAAACATGAAATAAACACTTTATTCAAATTAAATATAAAGTAAATTTTTACTTCACTCTTTGTTTGGATGACCAGGGCCGCACCCTCTGCCCCCCCGTCTTCTGTACACACTTCTTTTTAATATTTGTACATATTGGCTAGGAATCCTTTTGGAGAGAAAAAAAAAAGTAAAAGTGACAATTAAAAAATTCCCCCCCCCCAACTTTTTTTTTTTTTTTTTATTAAATGTTTTGTATAATATATATATATATATATTAAAAAGAGAGAAATCACAAAAATTTTTGGTTGTAATGTGATTTTTTTTTTTTTTTTTTTTTTTTTTTAAATATATATTATGCTTTATTTTTCATAATTAAGCAGAACTTTCTCACCACCAGTCCAAAAAAGACATTTGTATCACTACCACACAAAAAAGATAATGTTTAACATTGAAAAACATAAGGAAAATTAATTCATTTTAATAATATGTGGAAATATCCACTCTTTGCCTGAAGAAGGTCAGGACACCTGAAATGCATGTTGCAAAATTATGGAAAATAAAGCATAATATATATTTAAAAAAAAAATCCACATAACCAAAAACGGTTTCTCTGTTCTTTTTAAAATATACACTTTTCTCTTGTTGGAACAACTATAAGCACTTCCTTTATATATATATATATATATATATATATATATATATATATACACACAAATATCAAAATTACTAGAATTTAATGTATAACTAGCAGAATTTCTGTCAAGAGAATGCTCAATAGATAACTAGAGCAACAATCATGAACACTATATAATAATTACTGTTATGTCTTTATATCCTTTGTGTCATGCCCTATAGTGGGAAGGAAGATGAATCAATGCCGGATATTTCTAATAGTAGTTAATAAATGCCTAAGCAACTTCTCTTAAGATGAGTTGCTTGAACTTCTATTTATTAACAAATATAATAGCCTGACAATTGTTTAAACATGAAACACTGTTTATATACAGTTTGTATTTACAAATGCTCTCACCCTGATTTTGGGCACTTTTCTCCTATAAATATAGCACCCCTTAAAAAAAAATATTCCATTTTTATATATGATGCTATTTTTCCAGAGGATGGTTCCAGTTGCTTGATGCCACATTCTTCAAGGAGGGTATTTATGTGATGGTGCAGTAATGGGAGAAATGTATCGATCTCATTATGGACTTCATTGAAAAGTAGCATAGTAGTGCTATAGGCAATGTTTTATTTGTATTGTAATAAAAATGTTGGGTTTAGTAAATGTTTATTCCTTGCTTTTTGTATGTCTCTGGTAGTTTGTTAATATTATCAATTTATTATATTTAATATTTATTGCAGAAAAATTCCAGCAGTTCCAGTCTGGGTTAAAGAATGGTTTATATGTTGAAGACAGGGTTTCACCTCAATCTGTTGTAAGTACAAAGAAAAGATGTCACTTTTGGGCATCTGTGAAAACCTCAATCGCTTAGCCCATTGTATCAAGAGGTGTTGATAGAGAAAAAAATAAGTTATGTCTATCCAGGTCAATTGCAAAACTGACATCATACCTATTAAAAAAAAATGAGACAGGTCAATACTTCTATGATTAGAGTGTAGTATCTGTGCACTATGTGAAAAGTGTTACACACAAATATGAGGAGGTGCTGAAAAGTTCTTAGTCTAACCCACTTCCATAATCTGTCCAAATTAACAAGTATTTTTAAAGAGTTTCTTGGTCTGACCAAGAACTTTCAACATCTTTGAGCAATAATAAACATGCACATTGTTTAATATATATATGTTTATATATATATATATATATATATATATATATATATATATATATATATATATATTCAGGCTGGTAAATGTAATTAATATTGTTTAAAAAAACCGAGCATTTACTTAAATTGTATCCATTACAAATAATGTATAAACAAAAAAGTTTATATATATATATAATTCCACCAATGTTGCTCAAAATAAATACAATCAAGTTCCTTTATTTAACTTTTCTTTTAAAATAAAATCTTTTAGGTACAATAGGTTAAAGTGTTATCATTTCTGCTATAAATTTATATCAATATGATTCATTAAATATCACAATATTGTGATCCAGAAAATTTTTTTGTTTATTCACTATACAAAAAATATCTGCTCTTCTCAAATGTTGTTTGCTAGACCAAATGATTCAGTAAATTCCTTCTCATTAAATATCTTAGTTTAGATATTTTTAATAATTTTGCTCCCTATATTTTCATCAATGGAAAATAGTGTTGGTACTATACAATGTAAAATAATGTTAATCTACCTGAAAATCAAAAAGCTATGCTTTATACTTTTAAACATTTAATTATGGAAATTTGTTAGTTTAATAGATTTTGATTTATTACTGTTCACTACATTTTCCTGGTCTCTTTAAAGGCTTTTTAATTACAATAAAAATTGCAAATATAAGTTATAACCTCTATTACCTTTTTGTATAATAGCTAAAAAGATCTTTGTCCAACCAAGGAAGGATTTAAAAAAAAAAAAAAAAAAAGTTTATTTGATCAGATGTTGGAGGTTAGCTGAGAACATTTCTGTCCTTTGTGAAAAAAAAAAGTATTTCTCTTTGTTCTTATAACCAAAGGCATTTTCTGTATTTAAGGGACTAGATTAAATTGTATAAAACTTTTCAATATGAGTAATAAAAAAAATCCACAACCCTGATATGTGGCAGAGAAATAACTGTTTTTTCTTTGTTATGCAGCTAGTTTGTCATTGCTGACTTACTGATGTTTGGTTATCAAAAACTGTATTTTACTGATCTGACTGTAAATGTGAACAGATGACTGTTTTGCAAGACATTGATATAAAAATATTTAAACTAAACCAAAACATAATAGGAATAGATACGTTTGATTATCATCCAGTTCACATTCCTCCCCAGTTTTTTTGAACTGGTGGAGAGGTTTATTTTTTGTTTCCTGTTTTGGATTGAGTTTCTGGTTCCTTCTAAAGGATTTTCCTTTTCTTTCACTTCCAGCAACCCCTTCCCCATGTATTTGTGACATTTACACCTTGCTTGTGCTAAATCCATTTAAAAAAAAAAAATAAAATAAATTAAAAATGCATAGCTGTTATTAAGCTTTAACCAGTATTACTTTCTTCTTATTTTGTTGCTTTTTTGCAACTTCCAGATCTATCATTGCTAAATACGCAGTGTGAATAAATTTAAAAAAAAAAAGTCTGGCAATGCACATTCCTTATCTTTTGAAAACAGTGTCTCTCCATGACAGCACCTTATCGATTAGGCTAGAAAAACCAACTAGTGGGAGTCATTCAGGCTACTGAAAAATTATTAGCCTGACCAACTTTCAAAAATCTTACCAATGACCAAGCATCTTCATTTTTTTTTTTTTTTTTAAATCATGTTAATCAGATCAAGAACTTTTCAGCACCTTTCTAATATTTAACCATGTAGCAATATTCTTTACTTTTCCAAATGCCATACACTACCATTTTGCTTGTTTTATATTTTTTCATATTTGCCTTAGATATAAATGTACACTAATTTCTTGGATGAAGCATTGTAAATTATTATTTTTGCTCATCTATATTATAAAATGGAAACTGATTCTCTGTCCATCACACATTCTGCTGTGCCTTTATATGGTATGTGTATATCAATGCTACCAAGTGACTTACATGTGTTTGTGTTATTTGAGGTACACGCAAACAAAAGTACACATGAATATACACAATTTGAATGAAATCGAAATGGCCATCTGTGTCACTAGGGGCTAAATTTCCCTTTGTGTCTGACTAACAGAAAAAGCCATTTAAAGCCATTTTTAGGACTCCTTCTGTATTCAAACTAAATATATTTTCTAATAAAAAGAGCATTTTAAATGGACAAACAATTTAGATTTTTAATTTGATCATCAAGCTGCTGGATGAACTTGTATTTTTTTTAAATCTTATTTCATCATAACTCCCAGATTGTTATTTTCTGATCAAAAGTAAGCAGTGTGAATTGGAAATAAAGAATAAACTCTCAAAATAACAATTCATTCTGGTAGAAATTAATAAAATCATCTTTGTCATTCAGGTAGCCCATCCTGAGTAAGACGATAAACTACGTCCAGCAGCAAGGCTTCTGATCAGGAGGTTTTGAGGAGCGTGGAACCACCTCTTAATTGCTAATGTTCCCAGGTCCACCCTGACTCGAGGTGGTAGCACCTTTTAGGGTCCCAGCTATGGGCAAATAGTTAACCCCGAAACTGGGATAAAAACCACTATGAAAGTGTAAAAATAGGTTTTAATACCAGAAATACTTTAAAAAATTATTACCAGCAATACGTTTTTGAAGGAAAAATATTACCAGAAATAGATTTTTGACAAAACAAAATATTACCAGTCATAAAAATTTTGTCTACATTAAATAACCCATTGAGGTTGATATGCTGTAAAACAAACCAAACCAATCATTCGGGTAGCATAAACCAGCATTGTTTATATTGTTCACATTTGATAATATAAGAATTTTAATGTTCAATTAGATATTTCCATGATATTTAGTGTAATCTCAGGTGTAATGTAGATGAAGCCATAGTTTATTCTAAAGAAATATTTAGCTAATTGTCTAATTGTCTTCAGCTTTATTTATATCTTAACACTTCAAAATGTAAGAGGTAATCATGGTTCTTATTTACATGTTCGTTTTTCTTATCTCTGAAGTGATATGGATTTTTTGGAAATATAGTGAAGTAGTTTCCCATTGCTTTTAGTAGCAATTGTATAATAACAAAATACTGCTATAATACTGCTCATACAATATCTACTAGTTAATAAATTACAAACTGTTGTGTTGGATAGTAATCATGAAATGTACCAGTATAGTCTAGCTGACTTTTTTAATTTTACATTTAGCCAAATTGTAGCTTTATTAAAATTGCTTGCTGACTGATAGATAGCTTTTTTCTTTTAAACATGTTATGAAAGTAACTTGACATTATTACTAAATATGATGAAATAAACACTTTGAAGTATAAAATTAAACCATGGAATTAATAGGAAGCAGACAAGTCACAACAATTAAATTATTACAAATATTTGCAATCTGAAGGGATCTAGTACTAAAATGGTTAAATCTTATTTTTTACATTTAAGTTTTAATAAAATTTAGGATCAAATGCATGAAATGCTAAACTTGGATGTTAAAAGATGTCTTTGTTTTCATGTTTATATTTCTCAGTGATGTTAGTTTTATTTCTGTTGGTGAAAAAAAACAAAAAACTTTGAGAGCATGTGTGTCTGAGAAAGAAAAAAACCTAATATCCCTTCACGTGTGTTTAATGTTAAAAAAAAAATGTATGTTCACTTGCGTGCATGCAAGATATTTAAAAAAAAAAATAAAAAAAAAAACTTTTGCCTAACTGATCTGATTTTTTTTTTAATACCCCCCCACCAAATTTTTGCCTGTATATGCTGTGTTCTTTTTTTTTTTTTTTTTTTTTTTTTTTTTTTTTTTTTTACGACTGTCCTGAGTTTATTTATGTTTTTTATTAGTCCCCTGTTCAGATCGAGCCATTTGACAATGTCAACACAAAAGAGGTATTTTCTATTTGCAAAATTCTTTTTCTTTTTTCTTTAACCAATTCCCTGAACAACAAGAAAGTTTGTCACTATTGATTTTACTGGAATCTTCATTCTTTACCTCATTAATGCTGAAACTAGTTTTGTGTTAAAGGCACAGAAAAGTTTATCTCTAATGAATAAAACAGTCTTTTGTATATTGTCTAATATTATATAAAAAGCAACCAGTCTTTTATTCAAAGATACAACCAAAATAATGACTGCATAAAGAACAATTTTTTTCTGGTCTATGATTTGGATTTATTATTAGGCAGACTTGCATACAAGGCTTCATCACTCTGTTTCAAGTCCTCTCCTTCACTCTTATATGCTGTTATATACTGAGTATAGACTAGCAAAAAAACAATGCTGGTGAGGCAGAAAGAAAAGGAGACAAGATATCTTAAAATAAAATTAAACTATCTATCAAGGTACAAAACTTTATTAATGTTACAAAAATGAATATATTAAATTGTATATAGCTATATACAGCAATGGATATGAAGAAAAAAAACTTGTTTGTCCTCTATTGGCTCTGAAGGGTGAGGATTGAAAACTGGTTATCCTCTTTTTTGTTTTGTTGATATTGTTTTGATTCACCTCTTCATGGTGATTTATTTTATTATCCTTGCTCTTTTACCCCCTGTTTGTTTTCATATTCATTACTGTATATAGTTATATACAATTTCAGTATGTCCATTTTTATAGCATTAATAAAATAATCTGTATTACCAATGTATACATTGGATCAAGGTAGAATGTCCCTTGTAGGCAATTTAATTGATTATTGTGGGTAAAAAAGAAAAAAAAAAGT